TATGGACAGTTACACTCACAGAAAGGGAGGAGCTATGGACAGTTACACTAATAGGGGAGGCGGAGCTATGGACAGTTACACTCACAGAGGAGGCCGAGCTATGGACAGTTACACTAATAGGGGAGGCGGAGCTATGGACAGTTACACTCACAGGGGATGGTGGCTTGGCAAAGTTGAGATGAGCGTACAGCAGCACAGCAATGTCATTCTGACTGGCCTCCAGGGCGATGGATAGGGCAGTGCTGCCGTCCTATAAGAAAGTCAAAAGCAGTAAGACCCGACACGGGCTGAGGGGGGTCCCCATAAGGATATGTTTACCCTACATGTGTGTGTGTGTGTGTGTATGTGGGGGGGGGGCAGTGGGGCCGGAGGGAGGCGGTGCTCACATTGTCGGCGATCGTGGCGTCACAGCCTGGCACAGCGAGCAGCTGGCGGACAATGTCGACGTGGCCGTGCTCACAGGCGCACATGAGCGCGGTAGAGCCGTCTTCGTCGCGGATGTTCACCTGCGCGCCACAGGACAGCAGTGCCCTCACCATGTCCCCGCGGCCATGACTGACGGCGAGCATCAGGGCCGTCTGCCCCGCCTATGGATAAAGCACAGCTCCAGCAACCAAGAACCACCGGGAGACACATCACAGCAACACTGCATGGGACATGGGCGCAGATCCGGCAGTGGACAGCAGGGGGCGCACCTGGCTGGCCTTGGCGTTGACGTCGCCAGTGCGCAGCAGCTGCAGGACGGTCTGAAGGTCGCTGTCAGAGTGGAATGCAGCCAGGGCAGTCAGCATGATGGCCGTGTAGCCAGCCTTGTTCTGCTTGTCGGCGTTACACAAACCTGTGTGGCCGGAACAGAGACAGACACAGATGTGGAGGCGGGAGGGTGGGAGCTACTGACCGTGGTCAGAACATGATGTAACACATGCACACAGCACAAGCTATAATACATATACAGCACAAACACAGCACATACACAGCACAACCTATAATACATATACAGCACAAACACAGCACAAGCTATAATACATATACAGCACAAACACAGCAGATACACAGCACATGCTACAGTATAATACATATACAGCACAAACACAGCACAAGCTATAATACATATACAGCACAAACACAGCACATACACAGCACATGCTATAATACATATACAGCACAAACACAGCACAAGCTATAATACATATACAGCACAAACACAGCACATA